CTCTACCATTATCATAGGATTGATGTGGTAAAATATCGTGTTTTTGAGGCCTAAACATATAGAGAGTTATAAACAAAGATAATATATTGTGGTTGTACGCCACCCATATTCGCGTATGCAGAGGTTGGAATAGCAATCACTACAATTGTGGCATTGCCTTAGAAGTTCGTACACTGTAAATCTTCTTTTTTCATTAAAACACACTATTTTAATTAAAACACACTGTTTTAATCAAAAGCACGTTGTTTTAATTAAAAACACACTGTTTAAATTGAAAATATGCGTATTATATTATAAAACATCAGTGTTTTAGAAAAGTGTTTGTCGGAGCATGGTCGGAGTAATTATGGCCTTAATAACTTATGAAATACAACTGGAAATAAAGACACTTGGCAAAGTTGTTTGTTTTTTGTTGTTTGTTGTTTGCCTAAAGGAATTTGATAATCTGCATTTGGTGAACAGTTGTGATGGTTGGAATCACATCAAAACATTCGCACATATGATTTAAACATTTTCCGCGAAATAAAGCACTCCAGAAAGCAAAATCGCCAACGATTTTTCAACCCTAAATACCAAACTATAAATGTTCCAGAAATTGGTAATGTATAAGACACATTTGTGTTAATGGGAGTAACTAGAACACTTTTCTGCCAAACTGTTTAATTTTGAAGCTCAAACACACATGCAATGTTTCAAAGAAAAACACACGACTATGCATGTTCTCAAAGGCCTCCGTTCATTTCATTATGTGCGGTATAACCGATTAAACTTAAGTTCATGTATTCACAGGACCATAGAATTCCATACTGCATAACGTCCATGTTGATATCTCCCAAGAAATACAGTTCAATTCGTGTTAATGGCGTGGGGTCATATTTTTGTTTCCACATAAAATTACATGTGCGTTACATTATAATAACAATAATATGTTACATCACATATTTCTGATTATAATATCGCATTGCTTGAAACAATATTGATAATTAATTATAATATTATACTTTTCAGATTTTAAGAGAATAATTAATTAGAGCCATTGTTCAGTGCCCTCGTTCTCTATGCCAGAAGAACTCTCTGGTTTGGTAAATATAGTTAATAGAAAATAAGCAATCAAACCATTTGACGGGTAGAAAAGTGAAAGATGAATGAAATAGAATGGATGTAGTACATAGGGTTGAGTGAGAATGGGACTACAATAGAGTAAATTTAGTTTTAGAAAGCATGTTACTGATGATTTTTTATTTGTTCAACTAATAATGTTTTGTTTTTCCTAGGAATTTGATGTGCCCAGAGAAACAGCAATACCACATGGGAAAGGATTGGGCACTTTACTTCAACGAAGAAAGGGTTCAAACATGTTGTTGTTCGGTTAAGTTCGTTACTCGTCTGTGTCAAGAATCAATGTTCAACATTTTTTGGTATTGTATCTACAGTTTCACGACAGAATTTTAGTAAACACAAGTTGTGATTACTGTACAATAGTGCAAATTGCTTGTTCATGAAACGCATCATTTGATATGTTTTGTACATTAACACTTTCCAAAATGATAATGATTCATATACTATGTTATCAGTGAAAACACGTTTTAAAATGTGTCTTTGTTACAAGCACTTGCCAATATTCTGACTGTGTGAAAGCACTTTTCAAAACGATGATAAACACTTTTCAAAACGATGATAAACACTTTTCAAAACGATGATAAACACTTTTCAAAACGATGATAAACACTTTTTCAATACACATTTCTGGTGTAAACACATTTTAAAATGTGAGTCTAATGAAATCACTTTTCAGAGAGTTGTGATAGTAAACACTTCGATAAAACATGTCTTCGGTTGAGACACTTTTCTACGTGTCGTGATTATAAACACTTTACAACATGTGTGTCTAGT